TGAGATATTATTTTAAAGTAGACTCATGAAATTGGACAAAACCTTTGAAACAACCTAACATGTTTTGTTCTGTTATGAGAATATGGGAAAATTTGGAGGTGTGGATGGGTAAATTTATGTTTTGCCTGAGGTGCTAAACTTTGTTTGGTTGGTTCTTCTCTTTCTAGAATCCATATTTTGCATGACCGTGCAAGAGCGGTAGTTTTCAAAGTCTGGAAAATATCTGAAGTTCCCACATTGTGAAGTTAGACACCTGAAACCAACCACCGTGTATTTCGTGATTCACCAAAGCGTTACGATCAAATTTTTAAGTATGTGTAAACAATTTCTACAAATTTCCATTACGGAATGTTTGTTTATTAGAAGGCAACGCTTCGCTTCTGAGCGAATACGCTAAAACTATCTGGGTTATGTATACATTCGCCACAGTAATAGAGGCAGTTAAACTACTGATAATGTAAACACAAAAAACAAGCGGAGGATACTTTCAAAATCAATAAGGAAGATGTTATTCGGAACGCTGCCCTTTTATCTTAATCGAGATCAGTTCGTCGAGATCGATATTCAAACTGAGTCTAATTACCGAACTAAACCAATTACGTAATGGATCAATTTTTGGTTACGAACTTCTAATTAAAGCCACGCCTGATTTGTACGCAACATCCATGATGGGCTCCGAAGTTTCAAATTGATTTGAAATACGTTTACCTTCGAAATATCCAGAAAATGAATTCATTGTCAAACCTACAGGGAAAATACAACATCATTAAAATAACCCTACCACTGAAAGTCATCAAAAACTTTGTTGGTTCACTTTCAATTTGTGGCGGTACATTCAAGATTTATCTAAGATTTTGAATCGATTCATTTTCTTCTTTGCTTTTTCTCAAAATCGCGATAACAGATTTCGTACACGGTTTTCCTGGTTAATTTTTTACCGACCCCTTTTCCAGAGTCATTATTTTAATTACTTTTTGAACGGTTCTCGTAGAATCACAGTTAGATTAAGTACTGTCTATACAAAAAATATAATTAATAATTTTATAGCTAATCAATCTGGATGAATTATACATCTATTCTTATAACTCATCAAATGATAACTCATCAAATGATATCTCGAAAGACATAAAACGTAACGACCTAACAGTTGAAAACACATCACAAAGAAACTATGTTGGTTCTATTTATTAGCATTGTTGATCGAAATAGACCTTTGTGTTCATTTAAATTTTCTTGAACTGTCTAGTTTATTGTTATTTGTATAACAATCTGTTGCCTAAAGGGATCTAATTTCAAAGATCTATGCATGAGAATATTTGTTTTCAACACAATGTGGAAGAGAAGGGCCATATATTTTGACATTAAACTCGAAATTAATCTCGAAATTACAACTTACATCTGAAGTTTTCACTTTGAATCCACCTAACTGTTACAAAAAATGAAGAAGTTAACAAAGTCTATGCGAAGAAAGTAATTCATTATATGTAGGTACTTGTTTTTGTTGCAAAATAATAATAAAATAAATGTATGTATACCTATTAATGAACAGTTTGGACAAAACTATTCCATTAAATTCAAATAATCGCTTCACTTTAATTTAATTGGAATTATTGTACTTCAGAAACGCTTTCAATCATGATATTTAACAAAAATGTCGGTTCTTATTTTTATCGAAATTTTCCATAACCATTAACACATCTTCATTCAAATCAGTTCATACGTGTTTCAGAAGCTGGCTGTAGCGACAATATCACATATCTCGTGACGTCACACAAGCTTTTGATGTACGCGTACATTTAAATCGCATATCNTATGCTGAAGGTGTCATAAGGTGGCTGATTCGAAGTGAATGGGGTATAGTATTTATGGTGATTTATTCATCAAGAAATTCATAATTCACCCTACTTTCAGGAAGTTCCAGCTGTAGTCATCGCCTTATCATCAGTGAAACTTATAATACCTTCTACGATGGGTAAATAACTAAGTGATTTGCATATATAGCGATTAGCAATGGCCGAAGAACCGTCCCTTGTGGAACTCTAAATATGAGTTACTTAGCTGTACTCTTCTCGTTTTTTGACATGTTCCCTATCGTCCCTAATTACCAAAGAAATACTATTTCTTCGAACTCCGATACTTTCCATTGCTTTTATAGATTATTTATTGATGGCTTACAGTATCAGAAATTGTTTATGTAACTCACCTAAAAACGTATACAATATTCCAAAAATGATATAAATAGAAAAGATGGCTGCCACTTTGGGATCATATTGCGTATCAACGCGTGTGCAAGTTTCGACGTAAGGGCCATCCGGGGGGATGAGTCCGGGAAATGCAGTTCCATTCGCTCTGGGAGGTACCAGGGAGCCGGGACGGGCTCCACTAGCCATCCTCTGAAGTCTGAAAAAGAAATTTCAACATGAAATAAGGGAATTCAATTCCAATTCGATGATAAAAATGTAGTTACGTCGTATTCAAAAAAATATTGGCCAAACCGGAAGAATTTTCTCCAAGAAAATTAAAGAGCATATACGAGGGTGGTCGCAGAAGTACCCGGTCAGACCTAGAGATGGCGGTAGTTGTTTGAAAAATATTACTGTAATTATTAGAAAGTACACAACCTATAAAGTATATGTTTCAAATTTGAAGACGCTTCGTTGTTTAGTATTTGTTTGGCAGCCATCAATAGCAAACGTTTTCGGTGAATTTGTGAAAATGGAGAAAATTGGTTATCGTTATGTGGTACAATACTTCTATTTGAAAGGCCTCAACACAACCAATATAAAAGCTGAACGGATTTTACTCTGAGTGGGTCTGCTCCTTCGTTTACAACATTAAAATATTGGGTAGCAGAGTTTAAACGAGGCTGCACGAGCGGCCAAGACGAGCGCCGCAGTGGTCGACCAAATGAGGTGACGACTCCAGAAACGGTGAAGAAAATCCACAAAGTGGTTCTGAATGATCGTCAACTGAAAGTGCGCAAGCTAGCAGACACTGAAATAAAAATATATTGAGATAAATGGGTGAGCAATAATTAAAATGTTAAATATACACAAAAGAACAAAATGAAATGAAACACTCAAGATAAATGATGAGAATTACAAAAAAAAATATGTGAAGAAACTTTCAAACCAAGTTACTTCACAACGTTTTACAATCGAATTTTTTGCATTCTTCATTTATCTTGATTAAACACGTTTCAGTACACTCCCTTGAACGTGTTCAGTTCACAGAACCGTAAGACGTGTTTCACTGTACAATGGTTTCATAATGATATGAACACGTCTTAGGAAGCTATTGTATAGTGAAACATACGTGTTTCAATGTAGTGATAGCTACCTTAGAATTGTTCAGTTCACAAAACCGTGATACGTGTTTCACTAAAAAATAGCTTCATAATCACACGAACACGCCTGAGGAAGCTATTGTATCGTGAAACACGTATGATTCACTGATTAAGCTATTGTGTAGTGAAACACGTATGTTTCACTATACAATAGCTTCCTCAAACGTGTTCATATCATTATGAGGCTATTGTATAGTGAAACACATCTTACGGTTGTGTAAATTGAACACGTTCGAAGGCGCTATTGTATAGTGAAACACGTGTTGAAGTTTTGTGAATTGAACACGTGTTTCACTATACAATAGCTTCATAATCACACGAATACGCCTGAGAAAGCTATTGTATAGTGAAACACGTATGTTTCACTGATGAAGCATTGTGTAGTGAAACAGGCATGTTTCATTGAGGAAGCTATTGTATAGAGAAACATACGTGTTTCACTGTACGATANCATGTTGGCAACGCTTCTTCAGACGTGTTCATATCATTATGAAACCATTGTACAGTGAAACACGTCTTACGGTTCTGTGAACTGAACACGTTCAAGGGAGTGTACTGAAACGTGTTTTGAGGATTTATTAATTGAACACGTGCTTCACTATACAATAGCTCCCTTGGACGTGTTTAGTTTACACAACCGTAAGACGCGTTTCACTATACAATAGCTTCATAATGATATGAACACGCCTGAGGAAGCTAATGTATAGTGAAACATACGTGTTTCACTGTACGATAGCGTCCTTGGGCATTTTCAATTGACAAAACCGCAACACTTGTTTAACTATTGAATAGCTTTCTTAAACGTGTTCAGTCTTACGGTTGTGTAAACTGAACACGTTCAAGTGAGCCATTGTATAGTAGAACAGGTGTTGAGGTTTTGTTAACTGAACACGCCTGAGGTAGCTACTGTTTCTATACAGTAGGGTCTGGCAACTGCCAGTCGAGAAACAACTATTTTCCCAGATAATACCATGATGGATACTGAATTATATCCGACGGACATTTGTGCAGTTTTTGCAGTTGTTTCTCATTCATTCAGTGATCAGCTACATACAGAGTTTAGAGTATTACTTCTCGTCAGTGCTGGACATATCCGAAAAAGACAGAAGTGAGTCCAGGACCCTACTGATTTCATTGTAGCACGACCGCTAGTGAACAAGACAAGATAAAATATGAGATACATAATTTCTTATTATGTACTCTGAAAAATGTTATTCAAATTATTGTCTTGGTTAGTGGAATTTAGAATTTGATGCATGAAATGGATGTATTGAAGACACTTTCCTCACCGTTGTCTGTAATAACCCTTGCTGTTTGTGGTAACAGAGGTTGTTATATTCTTTTACACATTCACTTAATTTCTTTGTCCCCGATCTATAACCACATGACCTGAAGCAGACCCTGTGCTTTCGTTTCATAGAACTAGTTTTGCCCAGCCATCTCAAGCAATACTGACTACGTACATTAACTACATGGTCACCACTATGTGCATCGTTAATCTGATAATTTAATACGTTTAACATGCCATTTACGCCGCGGCTAACTTGATATCCATTCCTGTCATTTGTCAGTCAATTGCAATCAAGGATGATTTATCAGTCTCTCAATTGGTGATTGCTGAACGAGATGAATTTCATTGTTATTTATGCAAGAACCGGACTCATCCCCCCGGATGGCCCTTACGTCGAAACTTGCACACGCGTTGATACGCAATATGATCCCAAAGTGGCAGCCATCTTTTCTATTTATATCATTTTTGGAATATTGTATACGTTTTTAGGTGAGCTACATAAACAATTTCTGATACTGTAAGCCATCAATAAATAATCTATAAAAGCAATGGAAAGTATCGGAGTTCGAAGAAATAGTATTTCTTTGGTAATTAGGGACGATAGGGAACATGTCAAAAAACGAGAAGAGTACAGCTAAGTAACTCATATTTAGAGTTCCACAAGGGACGGTTCTTCGGCCATTGCTAATCGCTATATATGCAAATCACTTAGTTATTTACCCATCGTAGAAGGTATTATAAGTTTCACTGATGATAAGGCGATGACTACAGCTGGAACTTCCTGAAAGTAGGGTGAATTATGAATTTCTTGATGAATAAATCACCATAAATACTATACCCCATTCACTTCGAATCAGCCACCTTATGACACCTTCAGCATAAACCTGTGTCAGACACCATTAAAAAATAATGGGACACAACAAAATATAAAATACATATGGTGAAATATTCATTGTTTCATGTGATCTTGTACACGAGAAGGAATTACTTGGCAAAATAAGAGAATCATTTGGAAAATTTGAATCATGTACATAATGTTGTAACTTCAATCAAATGAGAATACTCTACTTTGATCTGGTTCTATCACTTTTGACATACATGATAATTGCTAGGGTTGGCCTAACCAGCAGCTAATTCAATAAACTGGAAATAGGTCAGAAATGGATTATAAAAATATTTTCAACCTTCAGATAATCATCTGACTTACTATATCAAGAGAGCTGTTTTACGTTTGTTTGAAACTGATTGACAATGAAAATACTAAAAATAGTCTGATGAGTTGGTTAAAACAAAAAAAAAATATATCAAAAAATGAATAAACAATTAGTAAAAATATTCAAAAGAATTAAAAGAACGATAATTTGTTAAGCAAACAAATGATTGTAACCCGAAATGAAAATGAGTGAATAAATGGGTTAAAAATAAATGGAATGACAAAATGAAATATGATAATCAAGATAAATGAAGAATGCAAAAAATTCGATTGTAAAACGTTGTGAAGTAACTTGGTTTGAAAGTTTCTTCACATATTTTTTTTTTGTAATTCTCATCATTTATCTTGATTGTTTCATTTCATTTTGTTCTTTTGTGTATATTTAACATTTTAATTATTGCTCACCCATTTATCTCAATATATTTTCATTTCAGTTCACAATAATTTGTTCGCCTAACAAATTAGCTTTCTCACATTTTTTTAATTCTACAACTATTTAATCTGAATATTTTGGTTCACAAATTTCAATATTCTCTATAATTTTAACATTTCATTCATTTTCATTTCACCATATTCACCAGTGCTATTTTTTTGTCATCGTGCAAATGTATTGTCAATCGATATTACAGAAATAATAGAGTCATTACGAATCTAATTTAATTTATTTGTGTATTTTGACAGTGCTAGTCATCNTTTGCATTCACTTTTGTTGCAGGTTATCGGTTCTTCAAAACTATTATGTTTCTAACTGGATTCATTTTTGCATCCAGTATAGTTTATTTGATATGCCAGCAGGGGGATCTTCTGCCGATATATGGAAACGAGGGTGAGTATTTTATTCGTAAATTAAACTAGATTGGTCGACCTAACCTGCCTTTGCTATCTTAATATTCGATTTTTCTCTTGTAAACAGAAGGCGGAAGACTAATGAATCACCTATTTGAATGGCCTAACCATCATAGAGATGAAAATTGTATTATTTCAAGATGATAGATCACAATAAATGATTTATATGTCATAATAGAAGTAAAGTCAGCAATATTCATCACAGTCATAGTACAATAAGACTGCTAAATCTTGCTTATCAATCTACTGCAGATGAAGAAGAAATCGCACGAGAAATGCGCCGTGTTCAGTGTTGCCAGAACTATTGTTTTTGAACCAGATCTCCTATTTTGATTATCAAGCTGCTGTTCCATTGTTTGAAAGTAAAAATTTACTGATGACTAAGTTTACTTTCTATAATAATCATTAGGTGACTGTGAAAAGTGGAAATTACCAAACACATAATGAATGCGAAGTTTGCCGAATCAGATCGAGAAACAGTTATATGTGGCACCACACTAAAACAAGTTTTGAAAATAGTTCTAGTGTCATAGTGAATTATACAAAGGAATAGCTGATTGGAATATTATAAGGTTTGCATGTGAAGAAGCATTCATTTAGAATCTTCTAAATGGATAAGTATATTGACAATTATCAATTTTACGCAACATAACGAAATTTGTTGAAATTTAACCTTTCCTACATGTTTTTTGAGATTATACACGTGTTTTTACATCTGCCAGTAATGTTTTGATAACTCAGAATATTTTTGCGGCTTAGATTTTACAACCTCATTTTTCAGTAACTGAAGAAGAGCTAATAAAGTCTTGAAAGCTCGAACAAAAAAAAAGTTCTCATTTTTTCTTGTCTCCGCCTGCAATATCTGCTTACGCTGTAATAGATACCGATGATTTGAGAGGCAAACTCGCATAATGTATATTAATTATTATTTTTTCAGGGGTGTCTTTACTTGCTGGCGTTCTGTTTGGATTAATAACGACGCTGGTACAGTACGTTGGACTCTTTATGACCGGACTACATTCCGGTCTTCTTTTGGGACTGGCCGGTCTGCTGACTGCGGACCATTTCATGGAAACGTCGCCGAAAGGATCTGTATGGCTGTGTGTCGGAGTACTGCTTTGCTCTGCGTTGGTTGTTGCCATTTTTAATTTATATTTCAGAAAAAGTAAGTAACTAGTTCGTAACTTTTATTTTCTTCTGACAAGCGATACTTCCCCTGGTGTCGATGTTGTCAGCTATAGTATGACCAATAATGGTTGAGAGTAAAGCGCGTTGTCATATCTAAATTTTACGTTACCAGTTTATAGCAAAATCAAAATATAGTAAGCAGTAGAGTTGTAGGTTGTGGCAAATTATAGATAATACACAATACTAGTACGATTAAAAGGTATTATTTATNAATTTTTCTTTCATTTTTAACCCTCTCATAAATTAATAAGCACGCCCCCGATTTGCTGTCAACTGGGCTTACTTCTACTCTCAATCATTATTGGTTTTAGTATACAAGAAGTTTATTGTATTGCTGAATTCCTCTATAGATGGGTGTATCCTGTTTTTTCTTTGTTCTCTTGTATATTTGTTTCAGTCTTACAGCATTTCTTGTATTGTTATCATGTGTTTCTCCTATTGTTCCCATGGTGGTATTACATAAGATGTATTCATTCAATATTCCATGTATAAGTTCAACTTGTTCAAGTGTGATAAATTTTTCTATTTTCAGGAATCCCGTTATTTCATAAAGAATGTTTGTGAAAGTTGGTCGATACAAGTTATACAAAATTTTTATTAATTTGTTTTGCGCTCTTCCTAGCTTGCTAATTGATTGTTGTGATGACATGGTGTGCCATAAGAAATAGAATTTTGCTGATACTAATGGGTCGTTTTAATCATTTTCTTTTAACAAACGAAAATCGCCGAGCTCTTGAAAACAGATCTAAGCTTAGCATCTCCCACAAACACAGTAAACAATGAATACAGCTGAAAATTATATCATACTACAGGAGCATGCATGCCAACATAATAAAACAAATCTCGTATATACTTATTCGTTTCCTCGAAAAAATAAAATATATTTTGGTTTGGACTATGTGTTTTAGGTCGAAGATCCAAATCGAAGATATCAATACGATTGAATGCACTGTGTTGATTTACGTAATCAAAAACATAAATATTTACATCGTGGGAGATAAGAACATAGAAAATGAATGTTAATAATGCAATGAAAGACTAGAATACATTTGTGTTTGATAAGGTCAATATAATACTCCATAGAGCCCATATCCATGTTTTTCATAAATTGACTATTTCACGCAATATGTTTTCCCTCGAGAAAAACTACATATTTCAAGGATACAATTTGTCTCTGACAACGATCTCTACTTTTTACCGCTTTGCATTTTGCGCGCTATGCTCAAAAATTAATATTTCCATAATGATAGAGTGCATATTGCAAGTTATCTGTAATACTTTCACGATATGAATTGTGATTATGAATGTATGGTGTGAAAATTCAAAGAGACTTTTAATAAGAAACTAAATGCTCATTTAGGCAGTAGGAAGAGTAACTAATTCGGATATATGATATATAGTGTGAACGTGAAAATTCCCCCTCCCTCTTTACTTTTAAACCGAACAAGATGCCAAGACTGGAAAAAATGTATATAAAGGGGCATCATTTTTAATACATTTTGATTGAAAACTCAATATTGTTGCATCATTCGTCGCTGAGGAGGCGGCAGCAATTTTTTTTAAAGGACGGGGATCTTGAGATACCACAGTAAATATAATTTCAAAAAAAAAAGCTCAAAACTCACATCAGTTTATTTCAATAAATGTTCGAAATGTTCATCATTTAACAATTGATAATAATGAAGTTTGTTCACAATTTTTTTCTTACATTATAAAATGTTTTGAGGTAATTTAAACTTATATATTTACTTTTTCTAAAGTGAACTGCAGTTGTGTGTATGATTGAGATGTGTCTTCAAAAACATTTACAGGTGTCACATCGAGTGATCCGGGAAGTCGTTCTAAAGCTCTATCTATCCGTATGAATAATTGTCAAAACCAAATCTGTTTTTAATTGATGATACGTTTCAGCAAGATGAGGTACCTCCTCATTACGACAGGCTGGTCCAAAAGCGGCTACATTACAATTATTCAAACCGATGGATAGACAAATGTGGTCCTTTACAATAGTTCGCTAGATCACTTAACATGTCGTCCTCGGGATTTTGTTTGGATTTATATTGATACTGTTCACTGTGACTTTATGGAAGAATCTCCAACATCAGATAACCGCTCATGGGTGACATCCTTCAAAACAATACAGTCTACCATAACCGCGAATTCTCCGACTTCAATTCTATGTTTTAGAGAAGACCCTTTGTATTCGCACCTGGTGTCAATGTTTCAACAGTTTTCCCCAAAAAAAATTTCTTGGCGTCGCGGAAGAAACAACGCTCGAAATGTCGGGAATAGTTTTCTGGAACCTATCAGTATACTCTGTCAGACAAAAATTCCCAGACCCAAAATTCTCATGTATGTTTTTTTCTGCAGGTCTTACGATATTAGGCTCAAGTTTGTACGGTGGTGCGATTTTATCCATAGCTATAGACTACTTCGTGGAGAAGCTGTCAATGGTCTCTTGGGTGTGGCAGCGTGTGTCTCTCCGCCCCGTCCAACCGCCCCCCTGCTGGTTCTCGTGGATAGTCCTCGGTGCTTGGCCCTCTTTCGTCTTGGCCGGTTTGATCATACAGTTTGGAGTGACTGGGAGAGGCATTCACCATGCTGATGGTATGGTATTCAGGTTTATTTTGTGTATTCACTCTACGAGTATATCAACAGCATAATTTAGTTTTTACAGCGGAAAAGTATCGACAATCGGGCCCCTTTTCCGAAGCTCTGACACAATGGTCAGTAATTATTGGGTCCCAAAATAGTTTACCCTAAGCAGTCGCAAGAATGATAGCCTTCAGTCTTTCTACAGCTAATATTTCTGCCAGAGCAGATAATACCGGCTTGCCCGTATTATTTGCTCGTGAGGTTCGTGAATAGAAAAGACATCATTCCACCAAGAATTCCAGTAAAAAGAAAAACAGAGTGGTCTGGGTAGAATCAGAAAGTTCAAACAGACAATTTTAATATTTCATCCATTTTCTCTTTCATATCCTACCAATAATAAGATATCTACTGCTTCGGCTTCGCGAGCTGCCAAAATGGCATTGAGTCAAACTGGAGGACGTAGAAACATACACCTAGAAAAATCCCATTCGAAGCAAAATCTGGAGGAATCTTACCACTCATACCTATATTCCCTGCTCTTTCAGCTTTGGATTCGCTGAGGTGGAGCAGGCGCTATCGCAAAAACCGTAATAGATGCTAAAAATACCAAAAAGAAACTAGAAGAAGTTAAACGTCACAATGAAGCTATGGAACATTTGGGTTCCGGCTTGTACCTATGCAAAACACCTCGAGGATTTGCTCTGTTCCTAAAGAAACAACGTCAACGCAAAGGACGAGGTCTTTACTTGAAAAAGCAAAAAACCTCCTACTGAAGCTACCCCAACACTGAGGATTTGNAACTCCTGGACACCAACATCAAAGGGACCGACGCTAAGTTGGACTTCTGTATATAAGTATACTATGGTTTCGCTAAACCTCCAATGGAATTGGTGCGATATTTTGGAGGGGGTATAAAGATCACTGACGTAGTGAAGTGACTATACTGATCACAATAAACACTATACGGAGAAGAGTACCCAATCTTCTGATTCAAATCCGGTTATTTGAATGACAAATTGTTTTTTCGGGAAAAACTCCGTTCCGAATTTTTTGAAAATCTACGTTTTGCCAACATCTCATGGACCTGACATTCTCAAGATGTGTTTTTTTATTCACATAAGCACAAGTTGTGAAGAAAAAAACGCATCCTGAGAATGCTAACTGAGATGTTGGCAAAACGTCGACTTTACAAAAAATCAGAACGATGTTTTCATGAAAAAACATAATGAATCCTTTTTACGGCATATTAAAAAAAATTCTTCTCAATAAAACCTAGGAGGTAACTTAATACATTACTGAATATAAGTAGCAATTACACCTTTGTAAATCTGAAAAAGAGGTGAATTGATTTGCTCACTGTTACACAATATTCTTAGGAATGCGTAATTTTAGTTACTGAATCTTGTTTCTACTCTTTAATTATTATTACGTCGATTGCACCGAACGAGTTTAATTGTCGATATGATAAACAAGAAATAGTGATGACTAATGTTAGTTAAATGATGGAACAGACCAAACCCATATCCCACTATTTCTATAGAATCTACCAGAATATATGAACAATGTCGATTTTATCAAGGATAAAGTTGAAGTGGACAATTTCAATTCCCAGAGTGATCTGAGATAGTAATCTGAGTAATTCCAGAGTAATCTGAGAGACGAGAGATGAATGTACATCTACAGTACATTTGCTGAAGATTCGTCACCATGTAATGAAACTCCGGTCAAGTTCGATACGCTGTACCGTCTCCCTAGGTATCTGTCAAAATGCCAATACGTCTTATGTCGTGTTGAATAAGCCAAAGCGTCGTTGAATACTTAGTGGAATTATTTTAAATATTTTCGTCATTTTTCGGAAGGCAGAAACACGGTGGAATTCTAAGGTCATAACTGCAAACTAACCAACTGATATGTAAAGTTACTGGAATGAGTGCTATCTGGTGTTGGGTCACAAGTTCATCTAGCACTTTGTAGTTAGAGACAGGAAGAATATAGTTCGGCTTTTGTATATAGACTAACCTAACCTAACCTAACCTAGTCTATATACAAAGGTTCGGCGGTCGATGTTGAAGCTTGAGTTCGCAACTGACCGTCTCGGGGAACCTCGTTTATCTTTGATATTCGAGGATTGAGTCTAGATGGCATCTTTAAAGGGAGAGATGTCGTTACAAGTTTACGGCAGGTAAACGAACCAATATCAATGAAAAAAAAGTAGGATAAATATAGTTGAATCGGCTGCTTGCTGCTAAGCAATTATATTGAACGTATCATTTCTCCATGACCGAAGTATTTAAAAAAAAATTATGACAAACTTGCCTAAATGCAAATAAATTTCAATACAGACATTTTAATTACAGTGAAGGCAGGTCGTAAAAAAGCGAGGAGCACAAGTACAAAAGGGGTTACAAGGGCCGATAGGGCTGAGATGAGACAGAAAAAGTACAGATACCTTTACCAGGTTCGAACTGCTCATGGAGATGTGATAAGTCAGGTAAATATTATCACAGGGTGGGTAGAATAGGAACAACTTTGACACTCACGATAAAAAAAACATTCAGCGGAAAGAATTAAGTTTGACATCAATAGTAGAGTTGTTGCTATTTTCAACTATCTGTACTGTGGTTTCAAATGCATAAACATTACATTTTTCAATTCCCTCAACAAAAAACTTCGCTGAGAACTGAAAATATGTGTTTTCTTTCAGAATTTTGTTCAGCAGCTACAAAAGAAGGACAGCACTGACGGTCAAGGCGAGTGTAGCACTCTACAATCGGATGCAACTCACCTAACCATATTGCCAGACGCCCAGCTAGCTGTGCTGACGGAAAGCGAAGACGACAGTCAAACTGAAATCACGGCTAGACGATGAACAACTTGCTCTGGTTTTTTCTTTCTAACTTTGTGAAACATTGCTTAGAATTTACAAGGTTTTTCGAATTTTTGAAGCTTTAAGACAATAAATATACAAAAAAAAGTGTAAAAAAATGGATTTCGTTCTATGTAATAGGTGTCCGAAATATTGGCGAATTTTAGGAATCGTCAACTAGACTAATTTGAAAATACAAGGTGTGGTACAGTCGCTCTATCAAACGATGGATGAGAGAAATTTGTAGCCGTCCGGCTCTTTGACCAGACCTGACACTCCTTGATGAATTATCAAAATTGACATTCCGTGATTGACTTCTTATGTTGTGATTGCCATGACTTGTCACACCCTGTACAAATAATTTACTGCCAAAAATATTGAATATCTGGTAGGAAATCAAATATACCGTACCTATGTGTAGATTATCATTGTAAGATCTTGAGATCTCTAAAAAATATTGAAAGTGAACACACTGAAAACCAAAGGTTAGATATGAATTTTGAATTCATTATCATTTTGTTGAAATATATTTTTATTATAGCACAAAAAGAATAAAACTGCTCATTATGGCGTTTACTTTCATTTTTTTCCCTACCTTTGTGATGGAGAAACTCGCTAATTGACGTTCTCATCAACGTCTCAATTATGAAAATTAAAAAAATAAACTGATTCTTCAACTTTATTATTATTGAAAATCGGAATTCTCTCAGAGTATTTCATTTCTCTTTCTAAGTTGGAGGGAACAACAAAATGTCACTTCATCTGAATTCCTCTGTTATTGGTCATCAGTTATTGGAAGAATCTTTGTGTTATGAATTGGCGGTATCCATGCCTCGTTGATGTTTTAAATATCTTTCTTACGGTTGATGCATAACACGGCTAATAAACCCGGACAATTTAGGTTGTACATAAATTGTGATCCAATGCCTCACATTCGCATAAAATATGATTGGCGTCTCTGTCCCTTTGTTGCATTGCTGCAGCTAAAGTCTCCGTTGTACAGCCCAATTTTGTTCAGGTGTCCTTTCATAGACAGTGTCCAGTGAATGGCCCTGTAATTGCTTTAAGCTGATCCCTGCTTTGTTGAAGCAATTCTTCAGTTCTCGGACAATATCTTTTTAAAGGTTTTCTCATGTGTGTTTCTGAGTACCGAGCTCAACAATTTTTATTTATTCTATGGTCGTTCTCCAAGTCGTGTTGAGCGATACCAGATTTTTTTAACCTTCTAAATCGGATATGTGCTGTGTGTTCTTTGATACAAGTTTTATTGGTTCGCTTAGTCTGACCGATATATTTTTTGTCACATTCCTCACAGCTTAAGCTGCGAGTTATGAACAGTGAATAAGTCCCATTCCAAACAACTCAACTGTACCTTTCATGAATTACTCAAATTTCCACCCGAAATCTTTGGCGTGGAAGTGTACCATTTTAGATGTAAATAGAGATTGTTTAAGAGTTGGGAATTAGTTTACTTCGTCTCTTGAAGACGCCAACTTGTTTGGTGAAACGCCCGTCGGGAAGAGTATTGCAGTTCTGGATGATAATGTTCAATTGACACAGCATCTTCCTTCAGTTTTTTCCAGTTATTTAATTGCTTACTTTTATTGTGTCATAAATTTGTATACTATCTACCTGATATGAATATGACAAATAGTATTAGGAACGTGTTAGAATCAAACGTTAAAAGGTAAGACTTCGTTAATCCTGTGGGTTTTGTGTAACAAGTGCGATTTCTGTATTACGAAAATAGCAAGATTCCGCAAAATAGTGTTACACAAAGAGAAATTTGATAAGTTTCATACAAGATTCTTTAAATTTTGATAGAAAATATTCCTATTTTAATATCTATTAATTATGAATCCAATATAAATACATATAATAAAAATTCATTATAGATAATGAACGATACACATTTCATTTTAATGCGTTTTCTTCTTTTCTAAAATAATGTCTACAAAAAACAAACTGGCTCAAAACAATCCTCTTATATAAAAATTACATCAAATAATATTCATTCTCCTTCCTGTCAGTGAAACACCTTAAGACTTATCTTTCAATTCGGGCAAATAAAAGTCTTTCAACAGTGTGGTTTGAACGAAAGGTGTCATAGCCTTCTTTTCGGTTTCACTAGTCCAAACTTGGCTGGTGACTTCTTGTGCTATTCTTGTGCAAATGTCTGCGAAATGGTGTCTGAAAAAGTGATTGAAATGATGAATAGTAACGAAATACTTTGGAAAGAACTTCAGTGTTTAATAATGACAAAAAGGAAAACACGAAGTTTTTTCAACCAAGTTGGCATCAGATGATCTAAGAATTGAATCAATTTTTAATATGGTCTGATGATGACAACTTGGGTAACAGTAGTTTCATTCAATGAAGATTTCACTTGTTATTACTCAAGAAACAGAATAAGACATTATATTTCATTCAAAATGAAAAATTGATGGAAAAAAATATTCAGTTTAATCAACAAAGAAATCATGAAGCCTTACCTATTTCCAATTTCTTCCATCTTCTTACATAAAGCTTGGATGAACCACGATCCTGTTCTCTTATTTCTGATGGCCGCATAACCAGGAATTGTTGCCCAAAACGTTAACATATCTCTGAAAGGAGCAGATGCTCCATCTGTTGTAAGAGATAAGTCGTCATCATCAGTGAGCTCTTCTACTTCTTCTTCAACTGAAAAATTATGTAATAGAGTGTAAATTTTCACGGCCGGAGCGCGCTCGCTCACTCACACACCGCGCGCGCACACAATCATATCACTCACCACACGCGCGCGCGCACACAATCATATCACTCACCACGCGCGCGCGCACACACAATCATATCACGCAACACACACACAGTAATAGCACGCAACACAGTCATACCCCGCAACACACAGTCATACCGCGCACCACACAGTTATACCCCTCAACACAAAGTCATACTGCGCAACACCGGCATACCGCGCAACATCGGCATACCACGCAACACACAATCATACTGCGCAACATCGGCATATCACGCAACACACAGTCATACTGCACACCAGTCATACCACGCACCACACAGTTATACCGCGCGACACAGTCATACCACGCAATACACAGTCGTATCACTCAACATAGTTATACCCCGAAACACGGTCATACTCCGCAGCACACAGCCATACCACGCACCACACAGTTATACCCCGCAATACAGTCATACTTTGCAACACCGGCAAACCGCGCAACATCGACATACCACGCAACACACAGTCATACCGCACACTACAGTCATACCACGCACCAGTCATACCGCGCAACACCGACATACTACGCTACACACAATCACATCACGCAACACACAGTCATACCACGCAACACAGCCATACCACGCACCACAAAGTCATACCGCGCAACATCGGCATACCACGCATCACACGGTTATACTGCGATCCAGTCATACAACGCACCACACTTTTATACCGCGCCACAGTCACGCCACGCAACACACAATCATATCACGCAACACAGTCATACCCCGCGTGTCATACTCCGCAACACACAGTAATACCGCGCAACACCAGCATACTACGCACCACACAGGTATACCGCGTCACACAGTCATATCCCGCAACACAGCCATACCACGCACCAAAAAGTCATACCGCGCAACATCGGCATACCACGCATCACACAGTTATACCGCGTCACACAGTCATATCCCGCAACACACAGTCATATCACCCAACACACAGTCATATCCCGCAACACACAGTCATATCACCCAACACACAGTCATATCACCCAACACACAGTCATATCACCCAACACACAGTCATAACACGCAACACACAGTTATACCGCGCCACACAGTCATATCACGCAAAATACAGTCATATTACGCAACACACAGGCATACCCCGCAAAACACAGTCATACTGCGCACCACAGCCATACCACGCACCACACAGTTATACCCCGCAATACACAGTCATACTTTGCAACACCGGCAAATCGCGCAACATCGATATACCACGCAACACACAGCCATACCGCACACTACAGTCATACCACGCACCACACAGTTATACCCAGCACCAGTCATACCGCGCAACACCGACATACTACGCTACACACAATCATATCACGCAACACACAGTCATACCACGCAACACATTCATACCACGCAACACATTCATACCACGCAACACAGCCATACCACGCAACACAGCCATACCACGCACCACACAGTCATACCGCGCAACATCGGCATACCACGCAACACACGGTCATACTGCGATCCAGTCATACAACGCACCACACTTTTATACCGCGCCACAGTCACACCACGCAACACACAGTCATATCACGCAACACAGTCATACCCCGCGTGTCATACTCCTCAACACCGGCATGCCTCGCCACACCGGCATACTACGCAACACACAGTCATACTGCGCACCACACAGTTATACCTCGCAACAGACAGTAATACCGCGCAACACCGGCATACCACGCACCACACAGTTATACCGCGTCACACAGTCATATCCCGCAACACACAGTCATATCACCCAATACACAGTCATATCACGCAACACACAGTCATAAAGTTTTTTCCTGAAAGAATAAATTTACTTTTATATTGAGATCTCAATAATATTGTGAAGACCATAGAATGATAATAAAACAAAACAATGCAAAACCTTACTCATGGACGGTTCAATTTTGAGTGCCTCTCAGAGATTGCTTATAGGACCATTTATTATTATTTGTTTGAATGTGGTTGAGAATTAAAACAAGTTCAATGAGAAATTAGACCACATGATAAGAGTAATGTCTAATATAAGAAACTTTAGGGGAAGTTGTTGTCTCTTAAAATTTCTTTCTTTTCTCCAGAAATATGATAAAACAACGAAGCCCTATACAAAATGATAATGACATAGTTATTATTTATGACTATGGTAAATGAAGATGAAAACTGGTGTGTCTGAGGATTTTTTTACATTTACATTTTACATGTCCTAACTGAATATTATGCCACTGCAAAAATAATTTTCTGACTCGGTTTATTCAACACTTTCTACCGCTGTTTTATCATTCACCCAAAGTGGGCAGAAAATATACATGTTACAAGGGTAACCACAGCTGGAAACGCCTGTTTTTTAAAGGAAGACTTACTTTTTTGACACTGCTGACCCTGGCAGGATTGCAGAATAAGCACTTTCGGCTTATCTGTCAAATTAGCTTTATTGAATTTATACATTATATCCTGTATTCGGTTTACTTTCACTCTACAGCTGTTTGATCCATAAACAATCCCTAAAAAACAAACTGAATGTGAGAAAACAAAATTCGGCACACAATCAATGTGAACTAGGCCAATTTTTCAAATGTCATTTAGAAAAAATTGCTCCCATCTGTATCCATTGTCAATCCCTTTATGCTATGTCAATAATTCTTCAAGTAGTATTTCTCTTATTACAACTCAATGATTCAATATTGAATTCTTTTACAAATGATCAATCATACCTTTATCTCCATGACTAAGTATACAGATGAATAAACTGGACTCGTCTGTGACTAGTTTAACTACTTCTCTTATCTTTTCCACCATTTCAATGTGGGTCAAGTCATTCACCACTATTACTTTGAATCCATATTTTCTAAAAATTTTCTCCAGATTATCCCGATCTTTTTCTGTTCCTAATCTAGATTCCAGTTTGTCTGTTGTATCAGGAGGCAATAATTCCTAAAAAAGGAAATGAGTCTTCAAAAGGCTAGTGCCTAATATGTTTCAGGGAATCTGTTACAAAAGCCAAGTTTTGATAGCGACGACCAAATGAGAGATCGCTGTTTGTATTTCTGCCGCTATCACTTGCCTAGATGAAGCCAGTCCCCATAAGTGTTACGTTAATGCTTGGTTCTTATTCACGATGCTTCTTGTAAAGGACAGTACCTCTAATGAGATCTTCAGCAGATAGAATATTTCTTCAAACTAATGATTAGTCTAATTTTTTTATATCAGATATTTATATTTAGTGATTCAGATTTCTATCAAGTATTTGTGACTCACCATAAGTATACTTTATTATGGAAATGTCTTATTTTCTTAGTCTTTCTTGAAGACATGCATGTATATGCATAACTTAAATTTTTTTTTATACATTTTAGTTGTTTCTGTAATTCTGCAATAATGTTGGTTGATTAAAATTGATCATAAATGCGAACTTCATTCTGAATTCATATGTAATTGACGGATAATGTGATTATTACCTTGTATTGTGGATCAATTTCTGTATAAAAGTTCTCCTGGTTTATAATCAAAACCAGTCCGGGGTTATTCGGGTTCACATAATAGCAAGTCTCATTTTTATCATCGCTCATATTTTTCGTCACACTGGCAACAGGTAACTGATAATCCATGAAAGGATTGTACTTTTCGTAGTCTTGCTGCATTTGATTGTCAACACTGGTTGTAGAAGTATTTGGTCTATTAGTGTTTGAGTTTGACGTACTGGGTAGATTTTGCTTGAAGAAAGCATCTCTGATAGATACAGAGTTGTAATCANACACACACCACCACCACCACACAACACACACCACCACCACCACACAACACACACCACCACCACCACAGAACACACACCACCACCGCTACCACAGAACACACACACCACCACCACCACAGAACACACAGCGCCACCACCACTACCACAGAACACACAGCACCACCACCACCACTACCACAGAACACACATCACCACTACCACAGAACACACAGCACCACCACCACAGAACACGCACCATCACCACAGCACACACACCTCCACAATTACTACCACCACCACCATAGCATACACACCACAACTACCACCACCACCACAGCATACACACCACAACTACTACCACCACCACAGTATACACACCACAACTACCACCACCACAGCACACAATTTTTGAACTAATTATTCCTATTCACTCACCTTCAACAAATTCATTCCACTTCTATCTGAATCATTCGTAGATAGTAATACCTCTTCAATAATGTTGCAGAGGTGCTCTTCTTCCATCGCTTTGAGAATTTTTTTCACATCTGACAACTTAATTTTTTTTGTGACTTCCCAATTCATGAAACAAAGCTCAAGGTAATCAGCATTATATTTATTGAACAATGTGTTCTCTTCGGGAAACTGGGTTTCTACATAATCCAGAAGGGTTTTGGTTTTTGCTGAATCAAGATTTTCACATATCAGGTAGGCGGCCTTCTTGATTTTGTTCAAATGAATGCTGGCTGCACCATTGTGAGGAAGAAAATGATCGATTGTAGGTTCTTTTCTGAAACCTTCAAATGAAAAGTCATTTACATGGAAAAATTCGACGAGAGAGGAGTTACCTAATTTTCTTAAAGATTCATAGTTTTTTATTACACAAAGAGCTTCTACGAACTGGTTTTTCCAGTTAGTTTGTCGTACTTCTTGAATGGAAGCCCAGTTATAAAGAATCTTCTTATCAGGACTACCATTTAATAATGAATGAAGCTCTTGCAGTGCGTAGGGTATATCTTCGAATAATAAAAACACCAAAGATACCTGAAAGGACACCATAGTATAAACAATAATAATATACAGAATGTCTCAGCGAGTTGGAACCATTCTGAAAAATTTTCATCAGCGCTCAAACCCAGTATTAGTGTTATTGAAGATGGTTGATCAGAATAATGTTTTCTGATTTTTCATCGATATATGAATTAATTTCAATTCTGTTAATTTAAATAATAAAGATTTATCTCTAGAGATTAATAATGAAGAAATGTAACCTTTCCATTTCTAAATGTTTTCCTAACTATTTAATGAGAGTTTCAAAATTTTCTTTGTTATTGTAGAGTTGGGTTTTGACAAAGGAAATAAAATAAATCAAAGCAATTATACATTTCAACTTTCAAATAAAAGTACTTTACTCTCAACCAAAATTTTTATTTTTTGACAATCCTTGTACGAGACTGAAAGAACTTTATAACCGATGATTGCATTTCAAGTTTTAGTCTTTGCAAAAACTTTTCAAGAATAACTTTGTTCCCAACTTTTGACAAAAAAATCCATATACTTCCGACTTACAGATACATACTATACATATAATATTCTACCTATTAAATGCAAATGCTATTGTAAAGTAAAAAGTGAAATGTTTTTTTGATTAGATAAGTTTTCTACGAAACTACTGATGTTTTCCAACATTATTACTCATATATGTTTATTTTTGAAAATATTTATATTTATCTAGAATACTTCAAAATCTGTTATTGACTCGTTAAGTGGTCCGAGAATTTCTACAAATAATATATCAAATTTGTATTGAAAAGTTATGGGTGATTCACACAAATACTTTAGTTATCTTTAATTTTAGGAAAGTTGTCAATCAATCATAGGGAGCATTTAAGGAGTGTTGTATGAATGCTCCTACTGATTTACACTCTGACAACTTTTTTCACGTACAAGATACAATATTTGGTGTAGAATGGGCATCTATCTATTAAAGAGAATTTGATTAAACAACAATCCTATCACAAAACCTCACCGAACGTATCTATGAAAAGAGTACTCACAATTTCTTCAGTATCCAAGGAATTCTCTATATCGAGAACTTTGTCTTTGTTCAGAACTTCATTAGCTTTGGGTAAGCTTACGTTAGTTCTCAATGCAGCATCAAGTGTCATATTAGCAGGAGGTGCTGAAATATTAGAAATTATACCTGTTAAATAATAAAAGATTAAAATAATATTTATTTTCCATTAGACACAGATAACATGTATTGGAATCGTCAAAGTACACATAAGGCCATGACACAAAATTCAGTGTGAGCAACACTATTGTTATTAAAACAACAAGATTACTTACATATTACGAATCATGAAATTCTTGCAAATTATAAAAACATTTCTCAATCAATAATTTTTCAACAAGTTACTGAATTTATTGAGGTTTGTTATAACTTTTAAGACACCTAGGTTCATGTTCATATGTAATTAATCTCCTCACCACTTCTAGCTGGCGTGGCAGGTTCTAGACCAGGCGAATCCACACTTTGTTCTTCCAGATTCGTATCACTTTCTTCCTCAGAACTATCTGAGAGGTCAGAGATATACTGAGAATCTGTCCCTCTAATCAACTCTCTTATGGAATATACGCCGCCCATTATGTCTCAAATAAAAGTAAACACATCACTAGAATAAAGATAAAACTTAATTTGTCAAAGAAATAATAAAAAGCACTGAAACTTGACAAAAGGTCATGAAGACTTAAGCCCAGGGGAAGTACCCATTCCCATTTCTGTCATTAATTGGAATTTAAAAAATATATGAATGATGAAAATCATACCAAGCAGACACCACCTATTCTAAATATTGAACTCTGAATTATTCTAAATTTGTTAAAAACTATTTGCATTACTATTGAAAACAATTTAATTTTTCACGAACAAGCTGATGCTAATCGCGATGTAGCGATTAGCGAAATGAACAGCGTTGCCGTTGCCGTACTTACAGTACAAAGTAAATTTCAAAATAGCGTCTAGTAAAACCAATAATGATTGAGAGTCAAGCGCGTTGTCATATCTAAATTTTACGTTACCAGTTTATAGCAGAATCAAAATATGGTAAGCATTAGAGTTGTAGGTTGTGGCAAATTATAGATAATACACAATACTAGTACTAGTACGATTGAAAGGTATTATTTATGACAAAAATCAGTAATGAGCTTGTAATGAGTAATACTTATACATTTCACAGATCTAATGAAATCCTCATCAATTAAAAAATATTTTTCCCTGAAATGAGTTGAGTATATTTTTATTCATTTCTGAGAATATATCATAACATGTGGCATATAACACATTCCGTCGATAAAAATTCAGACTTCTTTTTCTTCAAACAACACTAATAGGCATTCGAAGTTAAATCCATTAATTGGCCCATTCAAGACAAATTTGATTTCAATTGGTTGACTATGAATTAGCATTTAACCTTGCTGAATACATTTACACAGCTTTTCACTAAGTCGAATAATTTATTTTGGTAATGTTTTTGTTCTAGACATAATGTAACTATAGTCCCATCCATTTTATTAAATAGTGACGTCAGACTTTCACTAATAAACCGGCTATCCTTTCGACGTTCACAACGTTGGCTGTCAAGCGCATAGATGAAGTTTTGCACACTACGCATTGTCCCCCGTTTTTCAATTATTTTTCAAATTTCAAGTTCGATTGCTTTCGCCATTTGTAGTTTGAATTTGTAGTAAATAGTGAACAACTTATTTGCATATATGTATCAAAACTTCGCGAAATAATGTCCGTTAAACAGCAAACACAACTAGATTTAGTAAGTTTTCATATTCAACTTATATAGTATATATCAAGGAAGTTGGAAAGAAACTTTGTATCAAGCATTGGGATAGTTGGTACAAGTATTTATTACATTTACTTTTCTGTGTATCTTATTCCGGCTCGAAACTTTGATGAGTTTCATGCATATGCCTGATATTTCAGGAGCGTTGGCTGATTAAATCAAACTTTTACTTTATATTTCGCTTTCACTTCAAACAAAAGTTATCACTTCAATGAAATAAAAGTTTGGTTCATGAACCACAGCCATATATCTCAACATTATCTTTATATGTTTTGAATTTTCTGATCATTTTTCTTAAAGGCCATAATGAAACATTTCATTTCTCTTTTATATTTTCTTTATTGATGTTGTAATTTATTTCATGATTCCATTTCATGATTAACTACAATGAAATGGGAAAACTATAAAAGTTTAAATCATTGGGAAAAACCTCATTTGCATTCATCTACTTTTCCATCAATAAGAAAGAGAGAAACTTTCATAAAAGGAAGTAAAAAATAAATACATAAATATAAATTGTATAAAGATAATTGGAATAACTGATCCACAAATAACTGTTTATGTGTAAACTAACAAAAAAACTATTTACAATAATAATTGACAAAATCTTAACAAAACTTCAAAGCCTCAAAATTGAGGACACTGATTCACAGAAACAAAAAATTATAAAATTCTTTATAGTAAATATCCATGAATATTGAAATTTAAAAACCCACTGTTCCCAATTAGCCACTGGTTTAATGTCTGAGGCATATAAATTGAAGAATTTAGGAACTGTTCTTGAAAAAACCAACTGATAAATCTCTATTATGCTTTTGTTGAGTCTACACTATGATATGGACTGTGTTTCTGGGGAGTTGCCACATCAATTGTTGATGTTTTTAGGGCTCAATTATTGTTCAATTTTTAGCTGGGGTCTCCAAATCATCAACAAGTTGTGAGAACTATTTTGAAACATTTGAATTATTGACTCTTAATTCCCACTCTGTACATTATGGAACCATCTTATTATGTCTTTCAAAACAAAACAATTTGATCTCAATAATGATCAAGAATAATTATTATTTTCTCTATAATCAAGATAGAATGATTAATTAACATATAACATATGGTAAATATATAATCTACCTTATAAACCGTCGAATATAATGAGATTAAAAATATTCAACCATTAGCGCAGATATAAAAATGCATCTAATGTTCAGATTTGAAAAAAAAATCAAGTTTTTTCTATTACAAAATTGTTTTTATTTCTCCTCTAATTGTATATACTATTTACTTCACTGACAGTATACGTTGCATACTCCTTTCCTTTGGGAAATGGAATGTATGTAATCTGTGAATGTATCTTTTTTTATACCTCAAAACGGTTGTGACTGATTCTATATAATTTAAGAACATCAGTGAATATCAGAAAGGTATATGGTTTTAGAGGAGATAAGTTTTTGAGAAAGAAAGGTTTAGGCTTTCTACTTCTCCATGTTTATACAAAGAAATATGTGGGAAACATTCAGATGAAGGAAGAAAGCAATTAATCTGAAAAGGAACTCTTCACAAAGATGTGTAGATCATCCATAGAAGTTTTTTCAGATACAAACTGATAGAAAAAGTCCTTTCTAAACATCTTCTTTCATATGAACATTAATTTATACAAAAACACTTTTTCCTATTCAGTTTGTATCCAAACATTCGTTTTGGAATTGAATCAGATATAATTCACAGGGACGCTACACAATATAGCATATGAAAGAGGTAAATTTCACTTATAGGGAACACTGTCTTTTTTTGAATAATGATGAAGTAGAAAGTGAAAACTTTTCTTTTCCCAAAATCAATGAAAACACTTTACAAGGATGTACAGATCATTCACATAAGTTTCTTTTAGATACAAACTGCAAGAAAAAAATATATCCGAAACAATGACTTTCAAATACGAGTATATAAACATTGAATTAAACAAAAATTACTTTCGCTCAGATTGTACTACAATTGAAATAGATATCGTACAATATTGCTTTATCAAATAAGTGTTATTTCTATGACTGGGATTAAAATAACTAGTTATATGAATGTTAATGTGTTTTGTAAGGACTCAGTGAATCCTGTCTTTCAAATTTACACAAAAAGGTGCTGACTATCTATAGTGTTTCCACTTGACACTTCGAAGTACATTTGGAAAAGGGAAGTTTCCTTTGTGAGTGACATTTTATATCAATACTTGTTTATATGTTTGAAAAGTTTCTGTGTTTGATATCTGTAATTCCATACCTATTCATATATCTGATAGTAGTTGTTTGGATGGATTATCTTCCAGTGCTTGCGTGATCTATACTACATCTGTATTATTTTCTTTTATGTATTCAATTGGTTTTTCTTGTGATCGAAGGATTCCCACGTTCTTTTTAATGATGTGAAAGTTAAAATATTTTTCGTAAAAGATGTCATCGTAAAATGTCAAAAATTTAAAAACCAGTCACAGAACAACATGGCATAGAAAAAGTGTTATATTTAGATTTTTATTATTCCTAACAAATAACGTAACATGCTTTGAATACAGAGTGAATATTATACAAGTTTGGAAAGTTTTTTTAAACTTTCAATTGTAACGAATTTATTAATAATACAAAACTTTCTAAACATGGTGACAGCATTATGTTGCTCCACTTTTAGGTTATATAATATGCGTTCTGTTACATGTTGCTTTTGGAGGCATTCCGTGGAGCAGAAGTGGATTGCTAACGACATGTTAAAGTATCATATTATCATTTCAGTGTCACATTCAATGATTTATAACCTTTCTTTCAGTTAACACGTTCCTGCAAGTTTTCGAACAGAGCCCAAACTCCTTACTTTCAAAGTTAACTGGTGGTTGTCAAACAACTTGACGGTGTAGTACTCAGACACATATTCTCTACCACCTGTTTCTACTCAAGCAAATCATTGCGAAAACAAGCACGATAATTCCAGAAATTTTAATGAATTTTACACTGAATTTCTCCTTTAAACGTTTGTCGACAGGGTATATGATTCTTATGACAATAAATGTATGGGAAAAGGAGAAACAGTCTGGTAAATTAGAGAAAAGTTGCCTATTTTAGAGTTTATGTGGCTTTTAAAGTTATCAATTGAATGATTAAGGTGATTCATCCGTAAGTTGTCAGAAAAAAGGCCCACTTATATCAGCCGAATCTTTTTTCCGGTTCATATAAAATATATCCGACGTTTCGTCGGATTAAAAATTTCTAAACGCCATCTTCTACATTTCGAAAAGGTGGAAAAACAGAGTATTTTTGTTTTTAATACCTATTCGAAAAAATTTTTTCCTTTCAAATATCTTTCTCTGCAACTCTAGATTATCTATAATGAATCATATATGACAAAAAATATTTTACAGACTGGTGACTTGATTGCAAAATCAGTGAAGTCGGTCACTTTTTCGAAGCGTTTTACCAATATAATTGTGAGATGCTCCATCTTCAACATAATTTATAGAAGACTAGAACTGAAAGAGTCCGAGTTAAAGACCAGAAATTATAAGGGCGTTCCCTATAAAATTATTAAAAACCCGAACAAATCAAAAGATCCTGCGATAACTTCGTTTGTGTCTTGGGTAGAAGGTATTCAAGATGCCATAGAAAAGAATTATGTAAGATTTTCCCAAGTTTTTTTTCTTCGATCTGAATCTGATCTTCTTTTTTAGCTAAGAGAAATATTTTTATTCATGAAAGACTCTACTGGAGATTTGTTGGAAACCTATCAGTTCAAGTTGAAATACAACACCGACCCGAATGATGAACATAAAAGAACTTTGGTGCACGTGCAAGATGATACCATGGCCTTGCTGCAGGTTATTTGCGACTTGGGGAAAAATAAGAAACTAGAGAATACAAAGCTCGTCATAGAATTCAAATACAACGACAGTTAGTAGCAACGTTCAATACCATAGAGTTTTCGTTCATTTGGCATTTCATTTTCAGTTACTCCTTTTGAATACGAACCGCCAGGGTTCTCACCAGCTATTCAACCGGAATGTAGCAAAATTTCTGACTCCGCTTGCAATAAAAATCTGGGCAAGTTGAATACAGGATTCCACAAAATAACCTGTCGTGCACACGGTTTGCTAGTAAGTGAAAATTCATAATCTTCAGTAGGGTGTTGATTATTAGCACCCTACTAACTTCTTTGATTACTCTAAGTTGATATTTTCACCAGTGAATGAAAAGAAAAACATTCCTTTCTCTTCTTCACACCTGTATTCGAATAATTTTATGACTATGAAAGTTTTAGTAGTTGAATATTCTCAAAACACAGAAAAATATATTTTAGGTAGTCAACTTGATCCAACTATATGCCAAAGCAAGTGTCAAGTAAAAGTTATAAGAACTAAGATTTTTTCATGAAATTTATTAGTAGGAGATTACAGCCGGTACTCGACCTCCTCCACCACTATGACGTAATAAATGGCATTTTAATGACTGATGATCAAGATGACCATGAAAAATGTGTCAGGTGCCTAGGTGTGAATAACGCCATAAAAACAACCTCTCCGGCACTTTTGACTTCGACTGACTTAACATGGTCATTTAGTAGTTGAATATTCTCAAAACACAGAAAAATATATTTTAGGTAGTCAACTTGATCCAACTATATGCCAGAGCAAGTGTCAAGTAAAAGTTATAAGAACTAAGATTTTTTCATGAAATTGATTAGTAGGAGATTACAGGCGGTACTCGACCTCCTCCACCACTATGACGTAATAAATGGCATTTTAATGACTGATGATGTCATTAAGAAGACCATGAAAAATGTGTCAGGTGCATAGGTGTGAATAACGCCATAAAAACAACCTTTCCTGGCACTTTTGACTTCGACTGACTTAACATGGTCTTAAGCAATGTACAAGGTCATATGATGAACATGAAACGTTGACCTTGAGATTAGATCCTGTTTTCTGTACGTGACCTTAAGTAAAACGAACCATCCATGATCAAACAACTTCAGACACTTTTCCTGGATCTCTGATCTTCAATTTCTTCAGATTTTCTTTTTTTTTTTTTCAACGACCAGATCTCTGATATAGAGTTATGTTTCGATCTTTCAGAGGTTGTATTCCGCGCTAATAGCATTGCCCCTCGATTGTCTACGAAAATAGAATGTAGATTGTTGAAAAATATTTCTTTACTAATTCCATGTACTAGTTTTTTCAGAAACTCCAACTCTTCCTTGGATTCTGGCAAGCAAGATGTCAAAATACTAATCACAGTAACTGATAATATAGAGCAGATTGTACGTCTGTGATCGTTATTGCTCAATCATCAAAATCATTTACACACAATTTAATTTATGGTGAAATTCACATTAATGTCTAATAATATTGAACATCTATAGAGAGCTGTAAAAATATTGATCAAGGAATATTGCGCAATAAGGGCCTGCTTATGGGCCTTTTTACAAATCAAAAGTTGAGAATAAATAAATAAACGTAGAATAAAGTTTTTCTCCAATTCCTTATGAAAATATCAACTATAAATATCACTTGTGTACGTGAGATATTGTTATAATTTTGTCCAACTGAAGATCAGTCAAAAAAAAAGGATTTGTTGTGAAAATATAATTACCTTAAGATTGATTTGTTTAAGACATTAAGTAGAGCTTCGACTCCCGCTTCAGCTTGTTTCGCGAATGGTCGGATTTCGCAGGAAGACGTGTTTGGTAAGTTCATGTTTCATGATTTATCTAATAAATAATGAAATGTGTTTGAGATATGGCACATAGACTTGTGCTAAGGAATACTTGTCGTGAAATTATAATATATCTTTTTATATATTTGATATTCAGAAAAAGCTAATAATATTTTTTAATAATGTTTAGGTGAAAAAATGGTCATCGAGGCTGAAAATGAGGAAAAATGGGAAAAAGCCAAATCAAAATTCAACAATAGCTGCATTACCGTATTATCAGGTGAGTAAACATTAGTTTATGGAATTCTGTGAAGTTGCCAAATACAAATTGTAAAATATTCAAAAAACAGTTTTGTTCGCTGCTACACGCGTGAATAAAAACATTTTTTTGCAAATGTATTGAGAATATAATGTATATCCTAACCTAGTCAACACTAGACATAAATAGATTATATGAAATTCCAAATAATAAAATTATTCTGTCACAAATAGTATTGTTTTTCCAATATCAAAAGTCGCAAAAATAAAAATATATGCGTATGCTCAATACGCATGGTCACTTAATGTATTTGATTGAAAAGTTCGATCAGTTGATAATGTGCAGTCTGTGCTGTCAACAATAGCCACTACAATGTCCTGGTATATGCAGTAGATATCACTGCTCGAACAACAACTCTTATAAATGTTACAAGTTCGGACTTTCATTGTCTAAAAAGGTATTAACAAATTTGAAATCTATGGAGGAACAAATGAAATAAAATGAATGAAAATTAATCGAAAATACTGAAAATTACCTATTCGAAAATTTGGATGAGTTATGTTGAACAGAAAAAAAAAGATTGAAAATGATCAAGCAATGAGTAAAAAAAATCGACACTCAAATTTTGTGAGTGTCACATCTACTACTGGCTCCTTATATCGGTAATATTGAATAATACTTTATTCTTCCACAGTATGGTGTGAATACAAAAAAAGTATTTTTTCTCAGATGCATTCACGCACGACCATTCGCTGTTGAGCTCCGAAGATATTGTGCCGCCCCCTGAAAATGTCGACTGCATCTGCCATTTGTCCATCACTGACGTTAACATTATCCGGTGCTCCAAGTGCGATAGGAAATATCACGCTCCCTGTTACGGCTACATGAACAAAGCAGACTTCGACGTCAACTTTTCTTGCCTAGAGTGCGGCACCACTGATACCATGCTAATTGAATTCACAGATACACAGCTTTTCGTTAAAGTGAGGTGAGTATTTTGGCACATGACTCACCTGTTGCGAATTGCGCTCTTTCTATCTCTTTCTAAAATTGTTGTATTCGGAAATATTTTGCATATGGTGTAACCAGGTGTTATTTTTTGTGTGTAATTATATGTATTTGGTCTATCAGTGTCATTTGAATTCCAATTGTTCAACCAACATTTGCTTCAGATTGATATTGTATTTCTTGAACAAGAAGAAAAAACTACCCAAAGAAATTTTCAATTCACTTGGCGATGAGCAGAAGGCAGTGGTTTTAGAAAAACTGAAACAGAGTGATGTCTATGATTCTGAGACAAAGTGAGTATGAGTAACTTCTACTAATATGATATTTTATTGAACTCGCATGATCACCAGTTGTAACTAAGTGCCCAATGGAACTACTGGAACGATTCAAATTTTTAAATGCTAACTTTTCAATATAAGTTTTAGAGATATTAAATATCACGAGTTTTGATTTTATGACAAAATCAGCAATTTTCTAATAGAAATTTGAGGTCACCTTATATCCTCTATTCAAATTGTGAAGGTATGAATATTGTGTTTTGCATTTCAACGGAACAAATCATTGTTATTATTCAAAAATACCAACCAATAAACAGCAGTGGCCATACGTTCGAACTGTAGCAATAACAACATATTACTAATGATAATTATTCCAGAACGAAATTGGGACCGAAAAGATTTTTTTTTTCCAGGATTTTCAACCAGAACAAATTTGATGAATGTGCGCCCATGTTCTTCAACATCAGCAACTCCCAGTTTCTACGTTAGAAAATGTAATTTTTTTGTTCAACTGTTTTAATAACTACTATATATTCACAAGTTACTTTGATAAGTTTAAATATTCAGGTGAAGTTTTTATAATGTTCAGGAGTTTCAAATCGTTCAGAATTGTAAAGTGTTGAAAGGAATTGAGGAATAATAAATTTTATTTTATGCTTTACAATCTTTTCAGATTTGTTTTCAATGATATACGTATATGTCCAAGTTCAGGTGAAAACACGTTACCTCAATGCCTCTCTTGTGGACCTACGACTTTGTAGGTACGTGTGGCAGACACCCGACGGAAAAACACAACTAACTCAGCTAATGCCGCTCAGAAGGCTGAAGTTAAAGCATCAGGCACCTGTGCAACGTCTTCCATTTGAAAGATTCGTCGCAAGTAATTTCCTACATATGAAATGACTTGCGAAATGTTCCTCCCGGTACTGATGAGAAGCTAGTTTCGAAACCGGTCTATCGGTGGTCGTCCCGACCAAATGAAATTAGTTTCAGCTTTTCATATAGAGGACGATAGAACGAATCTTCCAAATGCACAGGTACCTGATGGTTTTACTTCAGATTTCTGTGCGGCATTAGCTGGGTTAGTTGTTGTTTTTCCATTGGGTGTCTGCCACACATACTTACAAAGCCGTAGACTCACACGAGAGGCAGGGGTTAGGTGTTTTCACCTGAACCTGAGCATGTCATATGCACCTCTTCGGAATCTTCCAAATGGAAGACGTTGCACAGGTGACTGATGGTTTTACTTCGGCTTTCAGCGTGGAATTAGCTGGGTTAGTTGTTTTTATTTGTCGGGTGTCTGCCACACATACCTACAAAGTCGTAGACTCACACGATAGGCAGGGGTAAGTTGTTTTCACTTGAACTTGAGCATGCCATATGCAACTCTTCGGAATCTTCCAAATGGAAGACGTTGCACAGGTGACTGATGGTTTTACTTCACCTTTCAGTGCGGCATTAGCTGGGTGTGTTGTTGTTTTTCCGTCGGGTGTCTGCCACACATACCTACAAAGTCGTAGGCCCACACGAGAGGCAAGGGTAAGGTGTTTTACCTGAACTTGAGCATGCCATATGTACCTCTTCGGAATCTTCCAAATGGAAGACGTTGCACAGGTGACTCATAGTACTACTTCAGCTTTCTGCGCGGCATTAGCTGGGTGCGTTGTAGTTTTTACGTCGAGTATCTGTTACATGTACCTACACGTAGGTTCACGTGAGAGGCAAGGGTAAGGTGTTTTCACTTGAACTGTAGGTTGAACATTTCAGAGGTTCATTTTCAAAGCTAAAATCTCTAAAATTTCGCAAACCAACGTCGTTCATGAACACTATCATTGCCCAATGCCGGGTTAATTTTTCAGGCTGGACAAAGTGGCCGAAAATCGGTTAACGACATCAAATATTGATGAATAGATACAACCAAAATTGAAGAACAACGTTAACAATGCGAATGAAAAAGAAATTCATAATCTACGTGAGATCTTTAAAAAAATCTGTCAGAAACTGTAAGGCCGGGTCGTACCTACAAGCCAGATCTTTGTGCCTAGAAAAAACTAAAAAGAGGGTTCTGTGTGCACGAGGTGGAAATATGATCTATGAGCTTAAAATCACAAAATAATGAAAATAATATGTGTTCAAACGAACAAATATATTCCTGTTTTATTCATTTTATTCCCCTCTCCTTTTCTCTGACCAATGAAATTAATACAACAAGTCAAAACAAAGTTTCACCAGTTTTTAGGTTATGGTAGAACTGAGAAGTTAAACCGTAGTGGGGTTTGCCATCTGGAAAAAATGTTTCATATGTTAAATCGTTGATAAATTCGAAAACGTCTGAGAAAAAGTTATTGAAATTTCTGCAATTTGATATAAAATGCACAAAAATAAATTCTTCCTTTATGCTGGTGGTATATTTTTATCATATTTTTATTTTGGAATTGTCCAAGAAAAAATAACGAGGGGAAAATATCCTTATGAAGTTGTGGAACAAGATGGAACAGTTTCCACAAAATACGAAAAATATACGTTCGCTCTTACTTTAGTTTTCGTTCAGTGTGTAGTGAATTTTTTGGTAGCAAAAGTCTCTCAAACAATATGGCCTCAGGGCGAAGACAAAACTCATAAACTCTACTATGCAAGTATGTCTGTCACCTATTTATTGGCTATGGTGTGTTCTAATATGGCTCTACAGTGGGTGTCCTATCCGACGCAAGTGGTTGGAAAGTCTGCCAAACCCATACCCGTTATGATTCTGGGCGTCTTATTGGGGAAGAAAACTTACACGGCTAGAAAGTATCTTTTCGTTTTCATGATCGTATTTGGGATTGTCCTATTTATGTTGAAAGACCAAGCGAAGACGAGCACTCAAGACTCCACGCTAGGAGTGGGGGAATTATTATTGGTTCTGTCTTTGTTGATGGATGGATTAACAGGGGCAATTCAGGTAAGTGATAAGTAATGGCATATCATTATCTTTTGGAATTCTCTTATGGGTTCTAACAATGCAAAAAAAAGGCAGGTAAATATTTGTGTCAACAGCTAATGCAAGTCTTTGAAACATTTTCAATTAGAGGTTCAAAGAAATCATGATTACCAGTTAGAATTACCGGATGGGTGTTCTTAAAGTAGTTTTCCAAAGTGGACTGGAGCACTCACCTAATTTTTTGTACAGATTTCGTTCAATTTTCGAAATGATAAACATAGTTTTGTTCAAATGAATGAATATTCTAGTAGTGCTCAAGCAAAGCCACTTGGTTCAGACATTTTGTATATTTTCTATGAGCAAAAACATGTTTTTCTCATTTTATTGAACAATCCTGACCTGATATTGGTTTTCCTAAAATATAAATGGTTCTAGGATAGGATAAGAGCTGAATCGAAGCCAACTGGCTTACAGATGATGCAAGTAGCCAATGCATGGTGTACTCTCTTTTTGGCTGTGACTATTTTGATAACTGGAGAATATGCAGCATTCTTTGAATTTGCAAAGAGATTTCCATTTGTGGTGAACAATCTGCTCATATTAGGAGTAACATCTTCCATCGGGCAACTATTCTTATACTCAATGGTAAGTTTTTCAAATAATTAGTATTCATTACCAAGACATTCCAGTTTCAATAACTCAAAAATCGTTGGTGTTACATCTATTTTTTTATTTCAGGTGTCAGAATTTGGTCCCTTAGTTCTTTCAGTTGTAACGACAACAAGAAAATTCTTCACTGTCTTGGCCTCTGTCTTACTCTTTGGTAATGCATTATCTGCACGGCAATGGACTGGCACAATAATAGTTTTTGCCGCACTGTTTCTCGATGCATTCTACTCAAAAACAACACCAAAGAAGAAATAAATTCCTCGATTTTGGATCTTTTGAATTGTTATTTGAAATTTTGTTTCTTTAGATTGTTTTTGAATGTTGTTTAAACATTTACAGTAATAAATGTTTTTCCTATGTTACTTTTAAAGTAAATGTGAAGAGACGGCACACTGCCGTTTGGATCGGATCTTTCCTGCACTGATGAGAGGTAGTACCTCGAAACCGGTCTATAGGTGATCTACTTGATCGATTTCAGCATGATCCTGCTGCTGGATGGACGAAAAATATCTGCAAGATTAACCACTGTGAGGTATGTATCATGAAAGTTTATCTTATATAATTCAATGTCCGGTGTGGTATTAGCTGGGAAAGTAGTTGTTTTCCGGCAGGCATTCACCAGAACCTACGGTATAGGTACTGTATGAGAGATGAAATGTTTCGAGATTATTTTTTGAAATAATTATTTTCTCATACGTAAGCATTTCTCCTCCATAGTCTTCAAAATTATTTTCTTTAATACGAAAAATGGTCATTTTTTTAAAATAATAAGTAGTTCAATAAATGGATCAATGAATACCCTTTTCTCACAACAGAATTATAGCACGGTCTCTGGACGCACATTTTGCTAACCAATTTATAATATCTTTGTTGATGTTGATCAACTTGAAAATATTAATGAAAAAAAGCCTGTTGCACATTTTCTGTAATATTCAGATTTTGAAATACGAAAAAACATCCCAAAACGTTACTTGAAGACTGATTTTGTTCATCTTACTACAAAAAGGTTAATGTTTTTTTTTTTATAAATGCAGCAACTATTTGAAAATCTTCAAATATCTCGGGTATAACTGAATGTATGAAAAAAAAAATACATGAAGTACATTTCTGTTGATCTTTAGGTTTATTAAAAAGTATATTTTTTTGTCCTGTGAGATCAATATTTCAGCAATTATTCAAGTAAAATTAAATGGAATTAGGTCAACTTTCAAGTGTGGACATAATATTCATCCAATTGGATTCCAGTGTGACTTTCAGATAATTTCCATGCATATAAATGAAAACGCCACTGTAATTTACTTAATAGTCTCTACACATCAGGAGCCACCTATTTTAATATTTATTAAGCTCTACAATATTCGCATACTTTCTTCTTTATGACCACCTCCTGATATAAGTTGATATCAGTTTTCAAACTATTTTGCCGTTTCAAAGGAAAAACATATGTAATTGAAACTATCATGTTTGCAAATGAGGTTACAATATAAAAAATGGAATAAATTAGTTGTCATCATTACCCTGGTTTGTGGTAACTACAATATCAAAATGTTATGACAAACAGAATATATTCTTTTCGACAGAAAGTGTACGCATTTACTTAAAATGTATTGTGTATTGCTCACTGATGAATAAGCATTATTAAGTTGAGATTCTCTACAATATTTTATGATCTATTTGTCATTTCATCCAAAGATTACTTTCATCTACTTGGACTGTTGTTTTATAATAGCATTCAGTATAATCAGTCTGCCTTTTTGCTCAATGATTTGTATTCTGAACTAACTTCAGATTGAGAAAACGGTTGTTTTTGAAGATTTGAAACTTAACAATGTCAGTTACCTCTGCCTATGAAAGTTAGGTTTTTTACCATATTCATATGATAACGTACACTTTCTGCTTAACAGATCATCACTAACTAAAATTTTGTTCCTGAAAAACACTAAAATTTATTAGGAATGGAATATTAAAAAAAAACAATTTTGGACAATATAGTTTAACGTTACCCGAGTACAAAATTTATGACTAATTTTAATCAGTACATATTTGTCCAAAAATTGCCTTGACTCAACAGAACAAAATATATTATTTTACGTTTTAACATGTTTATCACAGTCAGTTTTCTGACACTATACTACACGTTCATTTTGATGCAAATTTATTCCATGGCATACAGCCTCGTCCACTCTTTCGCCCTGAGTACAGCATCTTCCTCCCTACTTTTCCACATATTTGCTACGTCGTTAGCTAGTGGATCGTCAGGATTGGGACTGCTGAGCAAAGCTTGTATCGATAATAATACTGTTCTTACTTGTAAGGCCGGTGACCATTGCTCCTTAAGGATGTCTAAACAAATTCTCCCTAATTTATCGATATTTGGATGATATATTTTAGTCAGAAATCTAACGTTGGGAGGTGACATAGGATAGTTCTCCGGAAGGAACAATTCGAGCTTGAATAGGCCTCCCTCGTAGGGAGAACCCGTCGGCCCCGCCATTACTACGTGAAAGTACCTGCAATTTGATTCATCAGGAATGGCACTGATTCCAGGGGGAGGGTCTTTTGATAAATTTTTTGTTTCCACCATTATACGTTTTTTTGAACCGCTTGCCATAACTAGAAAAACAAAATTAAATATACGTAAATTATTAAGTTACTTCTTGGTTTACTCACTTTTGAATTAATATAATGGGAATATAACCTAGTTTTTTTGCCGTTATTAACTACCGAGAAAATAAGGAAACGTCACTCAAAATGTCAAACACTATTTTCAATTTCACAAACAAAAAACTAACAACCTGTCGAGTGCGTTCCATTATATCAGCAGTATCTACATTAGCAGTACATTTCATTAGTGTATTATTATGAGCAAGTACCAGTTTAAAATGAAAAAAAAGTGAAATGCAAATTCAGCTGACTTGAGAAAATCATTTAATCAAATTTAAACTTTCAGACATATCATTATTTTTCGTTTGGGTCAATTTTATTTCTCGCATCGAGAATAATTGACAAAACAAAAGCGGAGCAGTTCAAATAGCAGGGTTCCTATGCATCTTTGTTATATATAAAGTTCATTGAGTTTTTACTTCGTTTACGCTAGGTCTATATGTTTTTCTTGACAGTTGTCCAAATAAACTTGTTTAAATCTAGGTAGTTCATTGTTTTCATCACTAAAATGAGACAAATTAATAACAAAAGCTGTTCTGCGATGAAAAGTACTTAGTCTGATAAAAATTTTAATAATTTTTTTCAGAAAATATCGATGAAATTTTATTCAAATCATATGACTATACTCAAATGTGAAGAGACGGCACACTGCCGTTTGGATCGGATCTTTCCTGCACTGATGAGAGGTAGTACCTCGAAACCGGTCTATAGGTGATCTACTTGATCGATTTCAGCATGATCCTGCTGCTGGATGGACGAAAAATATCTGCAAGATTAACCACTGTGAGGTATGTATCATGAAAGTTTATCTTATATAATTCAATGTCCGGTGTGGTATTAGCTGGGAAAGTAGTTGTTTTCCGGCAGGCATTCACCAGAACCTACGGTATAGGTACTGTATGAGAGATGAAATGTTTCGAGATTATTTTTTGAAATAATTATTTTCTCATACGTAAGCATTTCTCCTCCATAAATTCTCTACTCTCCAATCACAAAAACTATTTGATTCAGAAAGTTTTTGTTTCTCTCAAAACAATATAAAAATGTCCTGGTTAAATGCGCCTGTTTAAGGAAGCCACGACCATAACTAGAAGAAGAAGAATATAAAAGTGGCCGAGGTACATTTTGGCAATCACCCGTTCAAATTTTCCGAAACCAAACGTTATCTGTTAATTGTCACTCTCACCTCAATAAATTATTCAGTTCATCGATTAGTATTTTGACGATTGGTTCACCAGTTCCAGGAAACCGTGTTCCATATCTACCCGGTTTTTCAGTAGAACCACGATAGCAATGATTTTAGAAAAATCAACCACATGCCTAGTTACTTTTGGAACATATCTTGAGAAATTGTCCCTTATAAGTTGATTTGTTTCAGTTTGATTAGTTCACTAATGTTAATTTGAATTTATAGCTATAATCGAATATAATTCGAATGACCATGTGCATTAGACATTGCAGAATAAACATTACTGGCTGATAAGTTGGTATCTCCTTTCTTGCTCATAGGACACTTTCCTATTTTCTTCTAATTTGTCGTTTTATGATTACTGTCAAAATCAGCTGTAAATATTTATTCCCAAACATTTCTATTTTGTGATGGGACTAATAGTATTTACTCATCAGTCGAAGATTATTCAAGGTATCAATATACACACGTGTTGCACTCATTTCGAGAATAATCCATGAAGAATAATAAAAATCTTGTAGGAAGATTGCATTAAAATTATTCAAGAATTAACAGTAGTCATACCCCCATTGGGATAGATAATGACATATATATTATAAATAAACTTCAATAACATTCATTTCCTGTGGACATATCAAAATCAAATATCTAGTTTTTTGTAAAAATGGGTAAGTATTACTGTTGATTATAATATAAGTTAAAAGTATCCATATTATTCACCTTTGATGGTTCATGTATTCTTTTTTGCAGCTTTCAAAATGAGCTATTCCTTTGAAGGAAACTCTAAAAGTAGACCAGAGCAGAATTTGTCAGGATCAAGTAAAAAATTGAGTAAGGAATCACTTTTGCAGAAAACCCATGAAGAGAGAAGAAAAAGACAAGTAAGCTGAATAATTAATATTGTCAATAAAAGAAGGACTGCTTGAGAAATAATTACTTTTTAGGAACAAAGGTTGAAGCTACAAAGCACGCAAATCCTTCAGTCTCATATTCGAAGCTGGATTGTGAGAAAACACAAAAAAGATGAAGAAAGGCAGCTCTTTACCCAATTGGAAAATACTGCATCGAATCGAGTATTACTTTCCAAGCTGTTGTTCTTTTACGATGCCAAAACGGACAAAGATAAATTGGTTAGTACAATGTATTAGTAGTGTGGTAATTTTTTGTTAGGCTTGCACGTAATTTATATTTTCTGTAACTCATGTATTTTTTGTCTGTTACAAAGGTTAAAATTACAAAAAATTCTCACGCTATTGTGCTCAGTTTTAGCAATGCAAATTTATAAACTGATGTCTCCTTTTTACTATTGAATTCTGTGGATATTCACTTCATTTTCATTTTCACTTCAATATTGTTTGATTTTGTGATGAATATTTGCACACTTTAACAAAGCTGTTGCAGTTCAGGAAATTATCAATGTTTCATATGGTCCCAATGACTGCCTGTGGGCTACTTATAAAAAAGCCAATATTTCAGCTCTAAAAATTCATATATCTCACAACTGATATCAAAGAAAGTGAACAAACTTTTACAAAAAAAACTAACATTCATACATACACGAAATAACTTGATATTGATCTTCCATATTCATGTTTGGAAAATGTTAACCTCCTGATTTTAAAATCTTTCTCAACTTTGTTTTTTTTCAGTTTCGATTAGCCAGTGTCATATGCAACTGTCATACAGAATTATTAGGATATATAAATGGTGATGCCTCCTTTTCTTGGTTGATTAAAAGATATCTTGTTCTTTGCCTCAAAACATTGAACGAACATGAAGATAATGCAGTGTTGATGAAGTCTTTATACATTTTCACCACTAATGCTTGTACATTCGAGTATCTGATAAGAAAAGGTATACATATTTGTACTAATATTTGGAGTCATACGATTTACTAATATTAATTTTACAGGGTATTATACATTTCTAAGGAAACAATTGGATACTGAACATCAGTGTTTAGAAGAAATTATTATTCTTATACAAAAACCATTCAGATACCTTGGTGAGTCAGACGCTTTGAACGACTTATGCCTGTCAGGGTTTACTTCAAATTTTTTGAACAGCACGCTATCTCACAATGTCAAAAATGTTCTGATTCCTCATCTGAAGAACAACAGCAAAGATTTACCATTCGACCAATTGCTGAAACATTTGAATAGTGGTTTTCATTTTGACAAGAGTCCCAGCTTATTTTACAGTATTTTAGCATTGGAGCCAGATGATTATGGTAAGGAATTTTTTATGTTTGGAATTATTTCCACCCTGTATGATTTTATTTTGAAAAGTGCTACATAAATATCAAATAACTGTTTCTTTTTCTTGTAGAAACAGGATTGTTAGTGGTGGTCAATAGAGATATTTTACAGAAACTTTAAATAATTTTGTTATGTACTCGTAGAATATAACTTTGGAGATATATGTGAGCTGAGCTTCCAACTATTAAATACATCCTCTACTTTCTATATTTGCATGACTACGAACCTTTTTTATTTTTCATGGTATGAAATAAAAGTGATAAACATTATCTTTGAAGAGGTTATAAAAAATGCTATTAAATTTGAAACAGCTGTACAAACATTACATACATGAACATTTGATGTCATCTTTAAATCACTATAGTATATTTCCTTAAGCAGGGAGGTAATAAATCATTTTCAAGTTTCTGGTCCACAGGCCTACATAATTAATAGATTTCTTTTTAATTCAACACCAATAAAAATATTTAGAGTCCTATCATAAAAATAAAAAAAAAATTGAATGTCACATTTTCTAGAACATATTTTTTATATACAATATAAACAAAATAACATACCTACACGAATATATAAAAATTTTTAGCAGGTTGACACGAACATTGGTTAATTTTAGTTGTTTGTTTACGATTTCTGAGATGTATGTGAGATTTGAAAATAATTTTTTAATAATTAATGAATGTTTATTTGTACTTGTTGGTTTGAGTTCTATTTCTTTTATTTCATAATGATCTGTATTAATTTGTATCATCATGCAAAATTAGGAAGATCACCACACAGCTTTTTTTTAAGTAATAATCAACTCTTCACTTTAGAATCAATCACCCCCTAAAGACAAAATAATTTTAAAATATTGGCAATGGTCTTGTACTTGAGATTTGATAATTAAATTCTGAATAAGTTCATATAATTTCAGAACCAAATTGTGATAGTGTTCAAGTTCTCTCAAAACTCAGTCGTAACATTCATCAATTGAGACCGTCATCTGATTTAACGAAAGAAGATAGCGACGATGAAGAAGAAGAAGAAGAGCTAGTAACTGAGCAGCGATTGTTGCTTTCCGACTACTTACTCAACTTGAACAGATATGGGAGGGTGAAGAAATTGTTAACCTTTTTTGAACAGCACTGTAATGATGAAGAGGTTCCGATGGCATTCACAGTGTTATGTCATAATTTGTTGTTGGTCTATAAGGATTCAATGAAGAAGTATCTGTAAGTTTTCGTATTTTCTGAAATATATACAGTGTGATCCATTTAGATTAGAAACATCCCTGAATCATTTTGATTTAGTATTCCAATTCACTAATTCCTTTCCAGTTGTCAAGTAATAAAAAGACCATTTCGAGACAACATTTGAAATGTTCATTTCATTTTCTTCAGTCAAAAATATAGGATTTTCATTTGCGATTTTTTTGTTGTTTATTTATAACACAGATACGACAACTTGAAATTTGAAATCTCACTAAACTGTGAGTCATGCAAGAACAACAAGTAGCCACGCAAATTATTATTTTTTAGTTGCAACAGTAAACTACCTCCAGTAACTAACAACATGTTAAAAAAAGTAAAAATATTTGATGTTATAACCAACTTTACAGCTAATTAACTAGGAAGTGAAAAAAATTGGTGTTTGTTTTCAGAGAATTCGGATACAAGTGAAACTTTCTCAAAAAAAGACCTGTATTCGATGTCAGTATTGCTCAAGAACGTAGCGCGGGAGCTCATTAAAATAACTTTTCCTATGTCTCGATCGTGTGCTGTAAGTAAAGCAAGATTTTTGTTAGATTTTAACTTGACTGCCAATTATTTTTTATAATGCCATTATCTCACTTTCACTTTAGGTTCAGTCTACTCCAGAAGTTGTCCATTTGTATAAGGCGTGTTTCAATTCTGTGAGAGTTTTATATATGTTGGACTTGAGGAAGCAGTTTTGTCCAGCAGGATTCTGGACCTCTGAAAAAATTCATATACCTGCAGATTTGTCTAGGAAAAACTATTTTTCGAGTACACTTCATTCATTCCATGGATCTACAGACGGAAGAGAAGGTAAGGCCTATTGAAACTTTTTTGTCTATACAAAATGATTTTTTTTAATAATAATGATGATAATAATAATTTCTTTGGTTGAAAAGTACAGTTGACAGAATTCAATGCGCAATAAACAAAGAAAATGTCAATTATAAAAGTAAAAGTAAATGTAAAAACATATAAATGATGTAGGCGCTGTTGCCAATATGTGAATTAGAAACAAATCCCTTTAAAAATTAAAACCCAACATTTGAAACATCAATTTGAATACTTTTCGAAGTGAATTTGAAAAACGCATGAATTGAATTGTTCAGCTAAAAGGATTTTTTTTAAAATATCATTTATTTTTCAAAATACTTTTTAACCTCCTATTTTCCAATGTAAGAATGACAAAAAGGAAATCGTAAACGAACCTGTGAAATTTTATTGTAGATGAAGAACAACTGCCTCCTCTTTCGACCATAGAACAACGTTCCTTGGCCATTCTCGAAGAGCTGCCTTTCCTGATAAACTTCAACACGAGAGTATTATTCTTGCGTGATTTATGCAGAAACAGCTTAGGCCCCTACGATTACTACAGACATCATAGTGAGTTGCTCCACGACAACGTCATAGTCATTCGTAGAACACACATTTACGAGGATGCTTTCGAAAAAATTTCAAATAAAAGTGGTAAGTGACTTATATGAATGCCCTTCTCGGTGATTAACTCTCAAATTCTTGTTAGAATTGGACTTGAAACACAAAGTACGGATACAGTTCATCAACAGCGTGGGTTTGGAGGAAGCAGGTATCGATGGTGGTGGAATTTTCAAAGAGTTCATAAACGAGGTCCTGAAGACGGCTTTCGATCCGAACAGGGGATTTTTCTTGTTGACTGCTGATAACACATTGTATCCGAACCCTAATGTTCACCTCATAGTCAACAATTTCACCGATCACTACTACTTTATTGGCAGGCTTGTAGGGAAAGTGAGTTATTACAACGAATGTATTAACAGTTTTTTGAATTGGTTTCTTTTTAGGCTATTTTCGAAAACATTCTGGTCGATCTGCCGTTGGCGGAATTTTTTTTGGCCAAGTTGCTAGTGGACCGAGCTCCCGCCCACTATTTAAAGTCGCTGGATCCGGTTTTGTACAGAAATTTACTATATATGCGGGACTTCAACGGAGATATCACCGATTTGGGACTCGATTTCACTACAGTTAATAACGACTTGGGAGAAACCAGAGTAAGATTCGTTTTATGATATATTATTCCTTATGATAAATCGAACAAATTTTTCAGATCATGGAGTTGAAACCCAATGGAGCAGACATTCCTGTGACGAATGAGAATCGGTTGGAGTACATCCAAAGGCTGGCCGATCTCAAATTGAATAGACAATTGAAAAAACAATGCACGGCTTTTCGAAACGGGCTCAACAGCGTCGTTCCTTTGCCGTGGTTGAAACTATTCAGCCACAAGGAGTTACAAGTTATTATAGGCGGGGATACCCAAGAAATTGATCTCAGCGATTTGTTTGCACACACCGTATACGGAGGTAAGTCTAGCTAGACCAACTGATTCAAGAAATAAATAATAATAATAAATGTAATTCATTGGTTAATACCAAAGGGCCATCGACCGAAGTCGTTCAGCCAGTGTGTAATTTTTAAATATTTGCATATGCCCACATAACAGATTTGAGGTACATAATATGTCTGACAAAAAAAAATTATAAATTATGAGAGTGATTTGATGGTTCCCCAAATAGTTTTTTCCGGGTATTTGAATTTGGATGGTTGCCCTTCAGCTCTTTCCCTACATAATGCCTGTAGGGTCTCCAAGTTAGTTTCAATTTTGGCAAAGCAGTTTCCTAGGTCTGTTAGTCCCTTCTTTATAGGTTTCACTTTTGTAGTTCTATAAAGCAGTGCGTTTGAGGAATTGTGTAGTATGTTTTGAAGGTGACGCATTTTGGTAATACTCCTTAGTGTAGATGTTTCAGCTGTTTGGAGGTTTTTAATGCAGGATTACGACAACTTGAATAAATTACTATATATTTGTTGTTGCTGCTTTCTGCAATATTAACACTTCAATACTTACTAAATCAGTTTCATTTCACTGCACTCAATAAAACAATTTTGCAGAATATCTTCTACTATATCGCTTATTCAATTCACTATTTGTAAGCTACTGAATTTCTCATCACTTTCAAATTTTGCGCCATGGGAGTCAATTTTCTCTCTTTGCCATAGATAGGTAGATGATAGATAGATAGATAGATAGATAGATAGATAGATAGATAGATAGATAGATAGATAATTTTATTAATCTCCATAAATCATTTATGTGACATGAGATAAGTCCAATGGTAGTCATAAAAATAGGATAAATATAATAGTTTGAATAATACAATGTATTATTATGAATGTATTTATACATAACAACATTAAATAATTGATGGAGCATGCAATATACAAATATAAAAGTCTAAAGTTGGATGCCAACTATTTACAAAACTTGTTGAAAATATAAAATAAAATGTACATATAAAACATATTAAAAGTTTGTCTATTGGTCATTGGATTTAGTTCTAATATTCAACTTAATGTATTCAGTTAGTGAATAAAAGGAGTGATGGAGCAAAAACTTCTTAAGGTCGGATTTGAATTTTTTTAAATGTTTTGCTAATTTTATGCGTTCGGGAAACAGGTTATAAAAGTAGCCTTCAGCATACAGGAGAGATTTTGTGTACCATGTTTTGTTGAATTGATTTAGGTGTAAGTTGTTTTTATATCTAGTATCGTGTTCGTGAAGATCGCAATTTTTTGTAAATCTATCTTTATTATTAAATGTATAAATTAATAACTTACATAGGCAAACACACGGGAACGTTAGAATACATTCTTGATTTCTACAAGATTCGTTATAATCCATGCCAAAAATGAGTCTTATAAATCGTTTTTGTAAAATGAACACTCGTGATACTTCAGTTGACCTACCCAAAGTAATGATATTATAGCTGATTGCCGTGTAGACAAGAGCGTTTTAGTGTTATGTGTTTTGTAGCTCGGCCGTCGACTTCATCGAATCCCGAGTGAATAATTTTTTATGCTGATAGAATAAGGATACACTGAGAGATTAAAATTTGAAGTAGATTTATAGAAACGGACAAAATTTTTGTAACCACCTAATACTTATCCTATTCTGAACCTCAGAAACAACATTTGTTTTTTAGAGAAGGCTTTTGCTCATGAACTCATTTACAATAGTACAAATCTTCAACATCAGAAGTCTATATCAACAACACTAGGTATAGTATATACGAAGTCAATTCGAACGGCATTAAAACTAAATAGTTAACGAACGTCGGCAGTTTCTTTGTAGGGCATGGGCGGCGTGATATTCATACGAGGTCTAATCATTATTTTTATGTGGGAGGTTTTATATGGTATTAACTAGTAAATTCATCAGTACATTTGTCTTTTATTTAGCTGTTTGGGTTGACTTCGTATAGACTATACTATTCCTTTTCTGACTCTAACAATTGAATTCCACAGTAGTAAAAATATATCTTTCCGGCGTTTCTACTCGTGCAGAGTTTTGGCTTCAACAGCTTGTATTACTTTTGTCATGTTTCGGTTCATTATGTAAGTGATGCTTTATTACACTAATTTCATGTTTCAGGTGAATTCGGACCGGACCACCCCACTATAGTACTGTTTTGGAAGATTTTGCATAAATTTACTGCTGTTCAGAAAAAACAGTTACTGAAATTTGTGACAAGCTGCTCAAGACCACCGTTATTGGGATTCAAGGTGAGAAAAGCAAAACTTTGTTTATATTATA